ATTCAAATCCATACAGAGGTGGCTTGGAAAGGCCTGGAGATCTGCTTCTGAAAGTCAGCCACTGGAAGCCTATGGAGTTCTACTCTGACACAATGGGGTCAGCGAGTCAGAAATAACTTGATGGCAACTGGCCTTAAAATATGAATCCTTTTCAAGACCAAATGACTTTCTACTTTGAGTTTTCGTCGAAATTGTGCGTTTCAGTAACAGAAAGCATTTGGAATGAAATGAAAGAAAAAAATGTTTTGAGGTAGTATGAATTTTGATACAATTGTTGCTGTTATGGGCTGTTGAATCAGTTCTAACTCATAGCGACCTGTATCGGGTTTCCGAGGAGCAACTGGTGGGTTTGAACCGCCAACCTTGTGGTTAGCATTCCAGTGCTTATGCTACAGCACCATATCAGGTGGGCACTGTATGCCCTATAGGTAAAGAAAATGTTGTTGTTGCTAGGTGTTCTGAGTCAGTTCCGACACATAGTGACACTATGCACAACAGAATGAAATACTGCCTGGTCCTGTGCCATTCTCACAAATCTTTGCTACACTTGAGCTGCCACAGTGTCAATTCATCTTGTTGGGGATCTTTCTCTTTTTTGCTTACTCTCCACTTAACCAAATATAACGTTCTTCTCCAGGGACTGGTCGTCTCCACAGACATATCTTGGTAATGTGTCCAAAGTATGGAGACAAAGTCTTGCCATCTTGCTTCCAAAGAGCACTCTGGCTGTACCTCTTCCAACACAGACCTGTTTGTTCTTCTGGCAGTCCATCGTACTTTCAATATTCTTCTTCAACACCATAACAAATACATCAGTTCTTCTACTAATCATTGTACAACATTGTCCTTAATCACTGTCAAATTTTCATATGTATATGAGGCAATTACAAATACTATGTCTTGGGTCAGACACAGCTCAGTCTTCAAACTGATATCTTTGCTCTTGAACACTTTAAAGAGGTATTGTACAGCATCTTTGCCTAATGTAATATGTCATTTGATTTCTTGACAGCTGCTTCCATGAGTATTGATAGCAGATCCAAGCAAAATGAAGTATTTGACAACCTCAATCTTTTCTCTATTTATCTTAATATTTTTATTGGTCTAGTAAGGATTTTTGTTTTCCTTACATTGAGGTACAATCCATATTAAAGG